AAAGGGAACTTTCACCATGCTCCACTGTTGCCTGCTGGCACTCATTATTGTACTGGTATCCAGCCCTTTGCAAACTGTCTCCTGAGTCTCCACATTTTTCACATTTTGACTCACCTGCTGCCATTTTTCTGCACCCCAGTTAATGTGTTTTCGTGCAAAGGATGTGGAAACAAGGCTCAGCTATTCAACTATGCATAAAAACACAAGAACTGAGGAGCAGAAAAATGGCAGCAGGTGCTCTGGACTAATGAATCAACATCTGAAATATTTGGCTGTAGAACTATCTTCAGAAGATACAAGAACAAGGAGTCCTGAAAGTCATTGTATGGCCCCTACAGAGCCCTGTTCTCAACATCAAGTGTCTAGGATTACATGAAACTGGAGGAAGGATCTGAGGCAGCCTACATCCACAGATCTCTGGTTACTTCTCTAAGACGTTTGGAACAACCTACCTGCAGAGTTCCTTCAAAAAATGTGCAAGTGTACCTAGAAAAATGTATGCTTTTTTTTTTAATAAAGGCAAAGGGTGGTCACGGCAAATATTGACTTGGATTTCTCTTCTGTTCATTTACTTTCCATTTTGTTAATTGAAAAAAAACTATTAGCACATATGCTGCTGAAAGCATTTTTTCACCCCTGCCTAAAACTTTTGCACAGTAATGTAATATATATAAAAAAATATATTTTAGCATATGCAAAGAATACTTACTGGTGTACTCCAGCTTTAACCATGTGTGGCTATTTTGAGTGACTACAGCTTGTTGAACATACAGTTTCTCTATGAATGTTTTGCTCTTAAAAAAAACTATATATTCTGAAAAGTGAAGACGACTAACATCCAGAACTGAATGTGTAAACACCACGTCAGCGAACAACGTCATGTTCCATTTCAAAAAGCAGATACGTGAAATGATACATTCTTCTAACATGTCTCATGCTAACAGATGGCCGAGAGCAACAGATGCAATAATACGCAGACAGCACAATCACAGATGAGTTATCGTGGGGTTTATAATCAATACACAATAACATCCGTTAAACTGCCAGGAAAAGTAGTGGGAATAATACTGGAAAACAAAACTCCGAGAATATAGCAGACTTTTCTAACTTGCAAAATAGTATAATAAAAATACTCCGTTTTTGAACAGATGTCAATTAACTTGAGTCACTACAAGTTGTTTGTAAGTGGTTCCATATATGGAAAAAGCACATGGAAGACAAAAGCTATTACATGGCTCCTCCATGGAACCTTTTACCTCCCTCAAAAAAACCTATCCACATCTAACAATATTCACGAAGTCAAGGCAGAGACAACGAGGGGAATGCATGGCCACCACGTTTTGGAGGGGTGGCCCTTTAAAATAACCTGGGCAAGGATCAAAAAGCCATGCCATCAGTTTTGGTAGCTTTATCAAAATGTGCAGCAGATTCGGGTAGTTCTTAATAGCACCACTGTTACAAAGTGGTGATTATGGTTGCACCAAATTAAAAATTACCTGCAGTTTGTAGATATTGAAAACAAGAGGTAATGATGTATGGGGGACTCAAAAAAAAAAAAAAAAAAAAGTCACCTCAATGCTACAGCATCAATCTGGTGCTGCAGCTGTCCCCCTCCAGATCTAAGCCTGAACTGAGCAATCACATGACCCCTGATTGAGCAGTTCTCTGTCTTTTTGGAGTGGAGAGCAATGACACTCACTGGAGTGCCGGGCTGGAAAGTGGGCGGGTGCAGCTGACTTGGCTCTAAAATGCGCACCGAAAGCCAGCGCTAGCTGGATCCAGACAATATGGTCAGGATGCTTCCAGAGCCTGGGGCAGCTCTGTAACATCAGCTGACATCAGCTTTAAGTCCACTGTTGGCTGATTCTGTGACAGAAGAGAGAGCAAAGCTAGTGCATTCCTGTGACCCAGAAGAGAAGTATGGGGGGTGATTTTAATTCACTCTAAGTTTGCACACAGAGACAGGCAGAGTGCCTGTCCCTGTGTAGCAGGGGGGCATGTTTGCCACTACACCTTACCCACCTGTCACTGGTTGTCAAGAATGCTGTTCTTCGTAACAAGTGACCACCTTGAGATTGAAATCAGGCAATGTGTGGATTCTTTAGCCAATAGTAATATGTCATGACTGTGAATCCGCCCATTACCTGTGCAAGGTATGGGCAGGCAGCTATCCGGAGAGTCTGCAGTCGCCCAATATTGCACCTGTGATCTGCTGATTGTGGGTGCAATGCTCTGCAGGCCCCTTTTGAAAATGTTGTCATTAAAATTGTGGGAGTAAAACCAAAAATTTTTACTTGTGATTAGTGCAAGTGAGGGAAATTCCTCCACCTTTTCCTGCGACAATTCTCTAAGATGGGAATTGGAGAGATTACATTTCCTCCGTCTGGATACAAACAGAAAAAAAAATAACCTGATAATGGTTTAAAAAGGAGAAGTACAGCCAAAAGCTCTTTAGGCTGTACTTCTCCTGTGGATCACAGGAGTGCAGTTTGTTCTGCACTCCTGTGACCAGTTTTCAGCTGAATGAAGGCTGAAGCTCAGCCTTCCAGTGAGCCGCTGAGATCCTGAACAAGCCGCTCCCTCCCCCTCCACAGCCAAGCGCTTCAGTGAGACAGTCAAAGCAGACAGTGGCAACTGACAGTCACTGCTCACTGCTCTCTGCTCAGAGTGGCTGTCAGAACTCGGCGATCATGTGGTCGCTGAGTTCTCCCACTCAGAGCCAGCAGGGGAAAAATGCAGGATCAGACTGATGCTACATCCACCTTGGTAACTATAGTTTGGCAAGAAAAAAAAAAAAAAAAAAATGAAACTCCTACATCTCTTTTAAGCCTTCTCTAGTCTATTAAAAACTGGGCATTTTATACACTCTAAAAACATCTTATATCAAGACAAGGGCAATAAGTGGTGTAAATATTTAAAAGGAGAAGAAAATGGTAAATTGGGATAAAGAGAGGTCAGAAAAAAAAAAACAGAAAAATGGAAAGTGTGTGGAGGGGAAGTGATCGGAAGGGGCACAAGCAGTGCAATACGTTTTTAAATCGCTTAAAAGAAATAATCATCAAGATGAAATTTTTCACTTGAATCCAAATGTTTAACCCTGTATAACAAAAACGAGAGAAATGCGTTGATTGTCAGGTTACCAAAATACACCTAAACACTAGTAAAAAAAAGACTGCAATCTTGATAAGGATGAGCAAGGTTAATTAGGAGTAGCGAAGGATGAAGGATGGATAAGGTTCTAGTGTTACTAAACCCAGGGCCCTGCATTCACTAGATCCGGTCTCCCAAAGCACACAGAACATGGAAATGCAATTATTTTAGTACATATAAACTTTTATCATCAGCAGTATATATTAGTCTTGCGACTTCTATTCGTTTCCAGCCAAGCACTGGTTAAAGTTTGTAGGAGTTTTCATTCTGCTCTGATTGTCCTATGAGGCTGCATAACCCGATGCTCTGTCTGGACAGTGGCGATTGGCCCTGAGCTGATGACAAGCACCTCCCAAAAAAAACAAAAATTCTCTAGCAATACACACTAAACTGAGCATGTGCAGAGTGCCTCCTAGAGCACTGTACTATCAAAGATTAGAAGGGGAGGATCAGAGAAGACAGGATCAAACAGCCTTTTTACACAATGCGGAGAATTAACTCCTTATGTGCCACAGAGTATAAAAAGTAGGAGATATTTGCAGTGCGCATCAGTGAAGGATGCTCTGGAGAAAGGACAGCTGGTGATGGAGATAAACTGGAGCACAGGCACTGGGCAGCACTTCTCAAAGTTGATGCAAACTCTCTATGTGGAGAAAGATAAACAGGAAGGCATTTCTAAGTGCAGTATGTCCAGATTCTTTTTAATAAGAACGGTTAAAACCACTTACAGGGTGAAAGTAAAAACAGGCTCTGACTGATCAGTCATAGTGTGGGGCTCTATCTACTGTGCAGGGACCCGCTGTACCAGCCAGCAGCTGCAGGGAGAGCTTGAGATGAGATGTAAGATGACCGCCGCTCTTCCGGGACCGCTGGAGCGCACACTATCCAGAGGAGCGCCGACCAAAAATGACGTGAGCGTGGAGCAGTGACGCGTTTCAGAGCATTCAAATAGCCTCCTTCTTCAAGAGTAGAGGGGCGGGGGACGGGGTGGCCTCGGGAGACAAATGGTACACGCCTCCCAGAGACCAAAAATAGTGTGGACGGGGAGACAGTAACATGGTAACAAGATGGGAAAAAAAGGGGAGAAGGGAGAAAACAAAAAACGGGACTATAAGGGGAGAACTAATCTTAGTAAAAAATATATATGATATCTAAAGAAATATATAATATAAATGTAATGTACTTGGTAAAAAAAACTATATAGGGGAATGGAGGAAGAGAAGGGGGAGGGGAAGGGGGGAAGGGAAGGGGGGGGGGGGAAGGGGGGGAAGGGAAGGGGGGAAGGGAAGGGGGGGGGGGGTGAAGGGGAGAGGGGGGGGGGGAAAGAGAATTGAGTACGCGGGAGTGGGTGGCTTGCCACTTAACAGTGATAACTTGCCAGTTAGCATGATGGTAAGGATACATAATATATTATAAATTGTAGAATGCAACAGAAAGGAAGACAGATTTGAGAGCCCCCCATAGGAGGGGCGTATGGATGTGATGAGCAGGTATGGAGATGATGGCTAATAATTCTATAAAATGGTATGAATCTCCAAGTCCTCATTCAAACGCCTGGTTTGTTTTTACTATCACCCTGTGTTTTTAACCTTTCTTATTAAAGTGAACTTGGACATACTGCACTTAGAAGCGCCTTCCTGATTATCATTCTCCAAGTATAACCAAGCATGCTTTACTGCATATACAGACTGATCTTACTGTTGCGTGTTTAGTAACACTTTAATTTCATCATTATCATGAGATGAATAATACTGAAAGCCACTTGAAATAATGTAGACATTTTTGAATGGACAATGAAGTTTATTTATACCTACAAACTAAAAAAAAAAATGTATAATAAACAATTTTACCATCATTGTAAGGTTGAGGATTCCCAATCTTTCCATTAACTGAATCGGCTTCCTTCAGTACTTCCATCTCCATTACTATAACCACACGTCTGAAAAGCAGAAAACAAACAAACATTCAGTGAGGCCATATTTATAACTGTAATCCTCAAATCATGGCTGTAGTACTCTGGACCTTCGCAGAGACTACCCTGCAGTTATGCTATGCATTCTCATAGGAATCCCACCCTTCCTTCCTTCCTTGCCTGTGATTGAACAATAAGGAAATAGCAAGCCACCAGAGATCCTTTATTTCCTGTAATAACGATTAGGATATTTTGTTTACCAGTAAAATCCTTTTCTTGGAGCACATGATAGGATATAGTGTAATCCATGTTCATACCGGCTTGGTTATGCTGCCACCTCCAGGTAAATGAAAAACTGCACTCTTTGCCCAGGTATTGCCCTAAATAGCTCAGCTAACCCTCAGTTTTCTGACAAGCAATGAGGAATAAATAAGAGAGCAGAGATCTCCGTGTCCTGTGATGCACTCCAAGAAACTAATTTTACAGGTAAAACGAAAAATCCAGCTATGTTAACCGATTGCCGACTGTGCTATAGCAGAAATATTGCTACAGGGCAGTGGGCAAAAAAAAAAAAAAAAAAAAAAAAAAAAAAACATCACATATATACAGGATTTTGTATTTCCAGGTAGGGGGCGCGTGCTCCCTACCCGCGCCACCATCAATCACCAGGCCCCAGCTGGTAAGTACTCGCCAGCACCTGATGATTTCCGAGGATCTCCAACAGAGAGGAGGGCGGTTTTGTTTACAACAGTTCTCTCTGTCAGCTCAGGCACATTGCTCTGAATGGCTGTGTACAGCGCAGCCATCCACAGCAGTGTGATTACAGTGACTCTCACACACCGTCCCCTAGTAAAACACTCCCAGCACACAGTTAACCCTTTAATCGCCCCTCATGTTAACCCCTTCCTGTCCAGTGCCATTAGTACAGTGCTTTTTTTTTTTTAGCACTGATCACTGTATTGGTGTCACTGGGGATGAGTAACACCAAGTCAGTTCTCCCCAGTGTCAGAATGTCCACCGCAGTCCCACTATCAGTTGCTGATCGCAGCCATTACTAGTAAATTACCAATTAATTTACACATATTGGGATTTTTTTTTTTTTTTTTTTTTAGCAAAGACATGTAGCAGAATACATTTTGGCATAAATTGGTGTGTGGCAGCATAACTTAAGTAGTCAAATATGAAATCCTCCTGAAATGTCCTGTGATGTACGATTAAGAAAAGCCCAGATTAGGTCAGAGTTCTGACCCTCCTTTTCTTGGTTTGAGTGCTGATGTGCAGGGAATTGCGTAAACTACGTTAGGCACTTTTACTAGTTCACAGCAACTAAAAAGTAAATTAATGAACACAAAATTGGATTTAAGGTTTTTAATTTTACATCTGTCCTTAGGTTATCTTTAAAACGTGTCAAAACAGTGCCACACATCATACTACTGTATAAAACCTTAAAGTGAATGTAAAGCCTATAATTGAATTAATTTATTAATTAAACATGTTATACTTACCTGCTTTGTGCAATGGTTTTGCAGAGTAGCCCAAACCTCCTCTTCTGGGGTCCACCGCCGATGCTCCAAGCTCTGCCTCTTCTGTGTACCCATTATAGCAAGCCGCTTGTTCTGGGGGCACATGTGTGGGCAAGCTCATGAGCTGCCAGCCTTTAGAATCACTTCAATATCTAGACAAGATTTGTTGCATGACTTATACCAAGGAAAAGCCACACAGAATTTTATCTGTCTTGATCTGTATAATCATTCCCATAAGCAAAAGCTACAAAACTTGCAGGCTGTCCAATGCTGTAGTATAGAGTAAAGACTGATTTGCCTTAAAAACCACTAACTTCCCTTGCTGCTGATTGTGCCTTTTTGTTTTAGTTATTAGAACACTTGATAGAAGGGAAAGAAAAGGTGGTAATACCATCAACTATTCTACTGGCTTGTTGAAGGAGCAAAAATGTGACTTTTACGTTAGAACAGTTTACCAACCTTTGGGGAATGGCTCATTTTTAAGTACGTTCTTAAACCACTATTGTAGACTGCAGACAAGCCAAAAAGGTATTTTATACAGATCTTTTAAAAAGGCTGAAAGCACTAAACATACTGTATTCAAACATTAACTGAATAGAGCCCAAATTGGTAAAAAAAACAAGGTACAGCATTGACATACACAATGTGCAGCATCTGACAACACATGCAATATTAAACAGCTAAAATCAATACATTTCAGAGAGTACCTTGGAGGACAATACACATGTGCATGAACCTGTACAGCTACAATTTGGTGAAGTAAAAGACAGAAGTGAATTTTCATTGCATAGCAATGGTGTGCTCAATGATACAAATACAAAGAAAGTAATGGGCTAAATACCTTCCATCTTTAAGGTTGTTCACAATGTACCGGGAGACCTTGCAGATACAGTTTGCCGCAAGGAGATTTTGATCCACGAGAGAGTTCAACTGGGTAGCCAACATGAAAGCTGAAAGATAAACAAGTAGTAAAGATCAAGATCCTCACTGAGCAAAATAAGAAAACCAGTATTAAACACCGCAAAGGAAATGCAAGAATGATAAAAACCACCTCAAAATATGATTGCCTGGTAAAAAAAAAAAAAAAAAAAAAAAAACTTTACAAAAACATCCTCACCTTTTTTTTTACTACCACTGCAGCAATGCCTTAAAGTGGTTGTAAACCCTTACATACACCCAATGAAGCCTCAGGGGATACAGAGATGAAAAATACTTCCATATAATTTATACCAGGTTATTTGCAGCCCTCTGTCCTCTACAGCTATTCAAAGTACACCGTTTACAAAGTATTTCTGAGCTTCAGGCGACAGGGATCTGAGGTCACACACTGCATAGCACATAAAGGAGAGCAGAGTGTAATCGGAGTAGAAGGAATGGGCACATACCGCCTCTACAGAGTCTCACAGGGAAACATGCAAAGTAGAGGCTGTCAATCACCTTCTGTGTGCTGGGGGGCAGGGCTTTTTCACGAGATTTTGTGATTCATGCAAGATAGAGGGAGGTGAGATCAAATAGGAATCACAGTTGGTACTTTGGATTGAGGCAAGAACACGCTATAGAAAAAGTATATACTTTGTACATTTTTCATTTCAGATGTTTACTTTGAAGCCCAATATTAAGCGCACAGATGAAAGAAAAGGGAATGGACCTATAGGAATTGGCAAAAGTCTGCCAAGTGATTGGTCCTACACATCTATACTTTAACATACAATATGACACATTGATCCATCAGCTGTGCATAGCAAATGAGATATTAAAATATAGATATTTTTAGATATTTCAGAGTTCCTTGACAGCCATCATCACCTCTGCTTAGGCTGCATATACATGGCTCAAATTACTCCAGATGTGCAGAAGAGAGCAGAAAGAAACTGCTTATAAGCCATCTATAGCAGCTCTAAAAATACTTTAGTCCACAACACAAAAAAAAAGGCTGAACCAACCAGTGAGAATACAAACTCTCTTCTGTAATTATTTGGAGTTAAAATTACCTTAAAAAAAAAAAAGGAGAAGTATGGCTGTTGGCTATACTTCTCCTGTAAGTCACAGCAAAGCAAGTTTGTGCTGCACTCCTGTGATCCATTTCAGGCTGACATCAATCAGCCGACGTCACTCAGCCGGTCCAGACTCAGGAAAGATCCCAACTTTACAGTCGGGATTCCACCCAGATGCCTGGAACAACAGCTGGCTCAGCCTCTCTCAGCGAACTGCCTATTGCTCCACCAGAGAACCGGTGACTGACAAGAAACGTCAAGATTTCAGAGTTCCTTGACTGCTAGTCATCTTATGTCTGCCATCATCCACACCCCCAACCCCCCCCACCCACTTAGGCTGTATACAAGGCTCAAGAGTCTGAGCCAGCTGCTCCCATCCCCTCCACAGCCCAGAGCTCCAGTGAGAGCTGGAGGAGCAGAGCAGAGAGCCAGTGATTGACAGGCCAGGAGGTACCAATTTGGCATCCCCCACCTGCAGTACAGGTCCTGGAACACATCCATGTCTACAGCCCATTCTCCTGGATCCAGGTTCAGAAATCTGAGGAATTCTGCCTGCCAACTGTTCACCCCAGGGATGCAAATGGTGTAAAAGCCCTGAACATTCTGTTCTACCCAAGAGAGAATCCTATATACCTCTATTGCTGGGGCCCATTATTGACTGTTAAGGGGTTGTCCATCTGAATCTGGAATGCATGACCCTTGGAAGGTCCAGTGTTGCATTGACAACCAAACCCCTCAGATCCAGAATGTTAATCCTCTATCTCCATTCCTCTAGCAACTAAGGCTACTGCACTGACAAGGTGTCTAGGACTTTTCCCCATCCCTGGCATCCATTGTGAGTAGTTTCCAAAAGATTGAAAAGGAAGGAAGGATTTCCCCAACGCTAGAGCTGAATTCCTGAGCCACCAAGCCAGAGATAACCTGGGCCTCTGTGTCAGGCAAATAAGTTAGTCTAGAGACTTAATTTATCCCACGATGACAGAAAATTGAATTGTTGGAGTCTGCAGTGAAACTGAGCAAAACAGGACTGCCTCAAAAGGAGATGGCCATCAGACCCATGACTCTTATGCAGAAGCAAAATGTTAGAAGCTTTTCTTTGAGGAAAAACTCTGGCTTGAACTGTGTCTCAAAAGTGTCTGAATGATTATCCTTATGTTGCTGGCCAGAACCTGTGGTGACTGTTCCGTTAACGCGATGGTATCCAGGTATCCCACAAAGGGAAAGCCGTGGAGAGCATAGCAAAGAGGCCAGCACCTTGGTGAACACGGAGTGTTGAGCACAGACACAAAAGTTGAGGCCTGAGAGTAATGACATGAACCCATCCTGTCCTCAGAAGGGGGGTGAGATTTTCCTGCCCAAATCCTAGGCTTCTCTTCTACTGTGGCAGACGAGTAGTCTTATCGTCAGTGACTTGAGGGTGTCCAAGCACTATAGCCAATGTAGGTTGCAATGCAGGGCCAGTGAGCCACCGAAAACAAGGCTCTGCAAAGAATTTCCAAGTGCTATCCTTAAAAACAGGCGTATCCCCTACAGCGGGTGTCGGCAACCCGCGGCTCTTTTTCACCTTTGCTGCGGCTCCGGAACACTCTGCCCACCAGGTGACAGGCAATAGGGTTGCCGTAGCTCAGTGGTCGGCAAGCCGCGGCTCGCGAGCCACATGCGGCCTCTTTACACATTTTAATGCGGCTCTTCTGTGTGCCGGGCGCCCGCTCCCCTCCCTCCTCTCGGGCGGCCGCCCCAAAAGTCAGGACTCTGCAGCTAGCCCAGCAATGGGCAAACTACGGCCCAGCAGACCTTTTAATCCGGCCCGCGGAGCATGGCAAACATTGGCTGTCAGGATGTAGGCGGGGCAGCGTGACAAACTCCTCTCCTCTCACAGTCCGCCCTGAAGACCGGAACGGCGCGGGAACACGGCGAGAGGAACGCGCGGAGCAAAGGTAAGTGAATTGACACAATATGGGGGATGAATTACTATAGGGGGGATGAATTACTATAGGGGGGATGAATTACTATAGGGGGGATGTATTTTCAGTTTAAAAAAATGTGGCTCTCAAAATAAATTTCAATCGTGGTTTTAGCGAGATTTGGCTCAGTTGAAAAAAAAGGTTGCCCACCACTGCATTAAGGTAAGAAACAATATATGCAGTGTCGGATTTGTTTTAAATGTTGCAATGGTTTTGCGGCTCCCAGTCTTTTTTTTCCCTTCGGAAACGGGTCCAAGTGGCTCTTTATGTCTTAAAGGTTGCAGACCCCTGCCCTACAGGGATCGTATTATTAACAAGGCATATTGCTGATTCCACAGCATGATGACTTCTTACTTAAAAACTCCTTAAATGAGTAAAGGGCCACCACAAAGAGCCACCACATAGATCTTCACAAATATGAGTGAAAAGCTTAGCAGGAGTGTCTGAGCGACCATAAGACTGACTGGGACAAGCATGTGCTTCAGGAAGGTCTCTGTAGTTTTAGGACCACTTAAGAACCTAAACAGATAGAAAATACTAGTAAAAGCTAAATCAAGCTTACAATATGTCACTTAAAATCTTGTATGGCTGAAAGTGAAATACTATCAGGAGAACCAAGGAGGGGCCTTGTGAGAGAGATGAGGAAGAATGAAGAGTCATGTAGAGGACAACATTTCAGGCTATCAAGAGTCAGCTGTTCTATAAGTGCACTGAAGGCAGCACCAGAGCTGTTATTGCAACACCAGTTGGAGAGACCTGTTAGAGGGACTGCAATGTGACATATAGTGCAGCAAGGCAGAGACAAGGTAGCTCAAGGGACCAAGCTTAATCTTGGGTGCTCCCCAAACCAGCTGCCAGTACCTGGAGAGTTCAAACGGCTGGGAGGTAACTAGGTCACTGGAGGGAGACAGCAAATTCCAACCAAGGAAAATCCTCAAGTCACTTGCAACTAGCAGCAATAGCAGGAAGCTGTTACCTCACACTGAATGGAAGGAACACGGGTGAAGTGCATGTGTACGATATGAGTGACAATACAGAGCCCTAAGGACACAATCTAAGCTACCCCTGCAATTGCTGAATCCAGCAATTTCCAGGCACAGCCTCCAAAAGCTAAAAGAAATGTATAATCTAAAAAGGAAAAAAAAATGGCTAGTAAAAACAGTTAAATATTTCACCCATCCTCCTAGAACACTAGCAAAAACAGAGGCATGCTGGGAGTAGGAGTTATACCAGCTAGTCAGTTTCTTGGTTGTACAAATCTACCTACAGCGGAATTAGAACCCAACTCTTTGTATTCTTTGTTCTTCCATGAATGATAAAATATCTTGATTTTGACAGAAAACAATAACTCCCTGTTCTCTCTGCTTGTACACAGAGAAAGGTTATCAACATCAGGAGGGGAAGGGGATCAGAAGTCTAAGCAGTTTGTAATGCATCTAATATGAAATAGGCAGGGCTGACAAGTGTTTTGGAATTTACAGCCAAAAATACCAAGTGGTATGTCAAAAAGGGAAGAATTAGTTCATACTACTGGCAACATCAAGAGTAATTCTTCTGTACTTTTAGTGGTCTTAAAAGGAGAAGTACAGCCAAAGCTTTTTTGGCTGTACTTCTCTTGTAGATCACAGGAGTGCAGTTTGTTCTTCTCTCCTGTGACCCAGGTTTAGCTGACAGCGGGGGTTCCTGAGCAGAGAGCGGTGGTGAGAACTGTGATCATGTGCAGGGATGTTCAATTCCTATCGCCTGACGCCCAGGACATGCAGTTCCGACCGTCGTGCAGGTACTTTTTTTTATGCCTTTACACTGCTGTGGGCAAGCTGCAGGGCTCACCTGTCAGGTGGAAGCATTGTGATAATGTGAACCTGTGAGCTACTATGGTGGTATATAGATACTTATAGATAATTAACTCCTATAAATGTGATGGTGCATCAACACAAAAACACACTCATAATATTATGTGAAAATGAATAAATAAATAAAATATTAAGTGTG